ATTTCATTTTGTACATCTTGTTACCACTACGTGATATAAAGCAGATACCCTCTTGAAAGCAGAAACAGCCATTGTACTAAAATATGTTCTAGATAGATAATAAGAGATTATAGATGCTCAGTGTGGTGTAGTGGATAGAGTGATGAACTATAGGACTCAGAAGACTGGAGTTTGAATTCCCTCTTGACCATGAACACTCAAGGGGTCTGATGTGGTGGGGTGGGAGATGGCACTGGTAGAAACACTGCTTAGATATCTTGATTATTTTGAAAAGCGTTACGGTTGCTATAAGCTGATTCTGACTTGATACCATATAACACACACAATAAGAGATAAGGCATGAGAAATTTGGTGTGGACATTCATATCTAGAATATTAAGCAGATTCTAATCCTGGTTGTATTTTGAATGAAATACATATTTGTATTGTATCTTCTCATTGATGTCTGTAAGAATGTTTGATTAATTTTCATCCTCTGTTTGAACATGTATCCAACTAATTAAGCTCTAGGTTTTAGTCTTGATAAGCATTTGCAGACTTAGCCATTATTAAATTCTCTTTGCTTGAACATGTATTCTACAAATTGTGGTCTAGCTTGTGTTATCAGCATCTTGAATCAGATTTTTTTTAAAAAAATGGCTGCATATATAGCACATTAAGTTCCATGAGAGTCAAGGTTATGTGTAATCTGCAGATCTTTACCAATTTACCTGTAATTTTTATTATCAGCATTTTTCTACACAGATGATTAGATATGTCAATTGTATTAAAATGCAAATATCTAACAACTGCAGCCTTACTCAGAATGTCCGCTGTGCTTTTGATTTCCACAGCTGTATGCACAGGGCCTTATGTTGCATTGTTACCTGAATATGAGCTGGTTAAAGTAAAATTATGGTTTTCACTATTCAATCATCACTATAGATGGCATGTACATAACAGAAAAAGATGCACCTCTGCCCTGGAGAACTTTTCATCTAAATTCTCTCAGTGCAAGAAATGACAAAGAGAGGAAAGGAAAAAAAAACAATGAGCTAGTAGCACTAAGGAATACATAGGAGAGAAGACACTCATTAAATATACAGTATACTGATTTCTTGTTGGCGAATGAGGACTAACAGATTAAAACATAGGGTTTAAGATGACATATACTGTATAAATCTGCCTAGTCCATATGTGTCTAGTCACAGATGAGTTTTTGAGATATTTTTGTGTATTTTCTAATATTATTAGCATTCATTGTGAATAAAAGTATTAATAATTATATAAAAAAAGAAAGCAATATAGCCATGCATACACAGCCGATACAACATATTTGGACAGGTGAGCCTCCAATACGTATTATTATGCAGCCTGTTTGGTGTTGCCTTGAATTAATGGGACATGGGGTACTTTCCTTAGTATGTATATAGATTGTAATTACTAAGGTCTTGAACAGCGCTTTGAAAATATATGTTCATTTTCTTGAACTTCAGCTCCCAAAATTCTCAGCCAGCATGACTGCTGGGCTGCTCTGCTCCTGAGTGTGTTGTGGGCTTTGTGGTGTTCTGCTGTTGTGTGTGTGAAGGCAGGAGGCGAGATCAGAACTGACTTCAGAAAGGTGACTTCTTCAGGAAGAATTGTGATTGAAAATATTCTAAATTTAATTACTCAGTAAGCTTTGTATCCATTCCTTCTTCCCCTAAAAAGGGCTCTTTTGAAGTTGCACAGCAGATGCAGCTTTGCTTCTGGTGGATCTCTTGTGGCAGGAAATACAGCACTTGTTGAATTCTTCTCTGCCTTGTATTTGTTAAAAGCACTGTGTCTTCATGAGGAAATGGGTTTGACTCCCCTGTAAGTTCTTCAGTTTTCCTAGTAATGTTTTGAAAAGCATAAAAACTGAAAACATTTAACCATAATTTGTGTATGGCTTAAGGTGTTTTTTTCTGTAGTTTTTACCCTTTAAAAGATTTTAAGCATATCACTCTATTTTAGTGTTAAACTCTATGCAAGGAAAATTGGATCTTTTTGAAAGGTCCTCGTAGCTGTCATTTTATGAAGCTGGTTAAAACCTGCCTTTCTGGTTTATAGTGTTGCTGCTGATCTATGAAGCATGGTTCTATGACTCATTTTGAACAATTCTTTGTTCACTCTTGAAGACATAACTGATGGTATTTCAAATAAACTTGTTCCTTGTAAGAATCTAAACCTGTAAGTTTGTTCTTATTATGAAACAGATTATGTAACTTTAGACATATTCCCAATCTAGAGTGCTGGTTTACTTCTCTCTCCTCTCTCTCTCTCTCAGTGCCTCACTCTCTGTCTCTCTCTGATGAAGTTTTGCTTTTGCTTTGATCACAGAAAATATAACAACCCCATTATGAAATTATTCTTGTAATTTCTCTATTAAAGCAGATGTACAGTACTTAGACTCCTGCATTATGCCTGGGAGGTGAGAGGAGTACTGTACTGTAGTTAGTGAAGATGCTCTACTTAATCTTGGTGGGTCATATGCACTGCACAGTTAATAATGGAAGCATAACAGTTTATTATAAGTCAGAGAGTACTCTGACACTGGTTTGCTGTGCCCAGTTCTTGGAATGTTACTTTTAAAAAGCGATTTATTCCTGCTATGTATTTTAATGTTTGAAATGTAACCTGTTGCCATTATTTGCTACAATGTTGAAAAAATAACACATCATTTTGTTGGTTGTACTGCTTATCAATTTTTTGTTAATTTCAAGTAACAGAGAACCCTCATAGTACGGCAATAACATAAAACATGGAAAAATATCATCAAAATGTTCATTAAAGTGCCATAAAGTGCATGTTAATGAGAAAACATGACTCATTGCAACAATAAAGTAACTTCTATCTTTATTGTTACATTACTTTTGAAATGAAACATCATCACACCCTCATTACTCCCAAAGCAACTAGGTATAAAGAAATAGTTATATAGAGTTGTTTCCAAAGGTCTGGTTGAACAAATCTGATGGTTGCTTATAGAGTTTCTACTTACAGTAGAAAACTCCTCAGGAGTAATGGCGTCCCTGAGAATAGGGCATTGTTAGTGATGAGAACTTCTGATGAAGTGTTTCCAGCTGACGTTTCATAGGACTCTAAGAATATATACCTCTGACAGTCTTTTTATTGAGTAAGCAAGGTTGCTGAAAGCAACATTGAGCAATTGGCTTTATTCCTTGCCAGCACCTTCCTTGAATCCTATTGTGTTGGGTTTCCTCTGTGCTTGACCTTGGATTGTCTTTGAATCTGCTTTGGACTTCAGTCACCTAGTTTTCTTGCTCTCTAAGTGACCACTGCCAGTTTACATTTTGGATTGACTGGACCTTGTCCTTTTACTTTATTTTATCTGAAGCAGGACACAAGTGGTTAAAATTTTGAGAAACTGAGCCATAAAAATTTACACTGCAGTTGTGACACTTACAATTTACAAAGCGTAAATGCTGGTGAGGTATATATGTATATGCACAGACATAGCCTTTTTGTGAAATGGTGTTTCCTTGAGTCCATGTTTCATCGAATTGTATAAGTGTTTCCATCTAAAAATTTCTGTGTAATTGTTTTTTCTTCTAAATATTTAGATGTTTTTTTAGCTTGGAACTGAGAATGATTACATCAACATATTTTCATTATAAACCTGGTTTGTTTTATATGCTACTTTCCCATTCATTAAATGTTTGAATTTTGTCCTGATAATTTTTTAAAAAGATATCAGACAAGTTATTTGTACGTTAATTGCTGGCCCTGAGGCTTTTGAAAACCAATGTAAGAGATGACTAAGTGGAAGTTCTTTGTGCCTGAGAAAATTCATTTTAAATGTAATATGGTGTCCCACATCCAGACCGTACTGATCTACATACATCTAGACCTCTTTCCTCTCCTTCCATGTTTTTGGTGCACAGAACTCTACATGGTACATTCCATGGAACTCTACTCTTTCCTCCTGTTTGTCTTTTCACTTTAGGTTTACCAGTCATTCATCATTCCCTCCTGCCCTGTGTCCAGTAGCAAAATACAAGTCTCCTTTTTGGCTGGATCCTTTCTTGGAGGGGTAGGGATACTGAATGATTGACAACGCTTTTTCTAGAATGGTGGTTCTCAACCTTGGGTCCCCAGATGTTTTTGGAGTAAAACTCCCGGAAGCCTTCACCATTAGCTTTGCTGGCCAGGATTTCTGGGAGTTGTAGTCCAAGATCATCTGGGGACCCAAGGTTGGGAACCATTGGTTGAGTAGATAGGAAGAGACATTCCAGTCCACACCACTAGAGGTGGCATATGAAACTTACACAACTGACTTGTGTCTGTAGCCCCAGTTTTGAAATTTGCTTTAAGCAGAGAAACCTGGACTGTACATCTGGCCATTAATTCTGGAACTTTTATGTTTCTTTTGCACCGTCCCTAGCTCCGTAATGACCGGTCTGATGAATACCCATGTAGGATTGTGATTTCTTTAGTGGTTTAATAAGAGTATCGTCCACCCTTCAGATTAGCTTTAGCAGTATAACTCAGAGTTCATGTGTAACATGTTAGCACTGTGTTTCCAAATTCACTGACTTGGCACTGGCAAAGCAACTGGTGTGTGACCCATCTTAAACTCTTCTTTTTACACAGCAGCAAAACTTGGAGATGAGCCACTGACTAGTCCCCTCCTCTTTCCTTCCTTGACCCGAAATGACAAAACTTTAAAGACATCTGTGTAAACAGGGAGCAGGTTCTTAGGTGATGCATAAATACATACCACTCAAGATATTAATGATTAATTGCTAACACATAAGCATGTTTGCCCGACTTTTTTTAAAAAACAAAGTGGCTCAAGAGAACTTTAGAGTTCTTTTTAAACTCTTGTCACTGAGATTTTAGTCAAAAAGCAGAAAGTCAGTTTCTAATAAAACAATCTTCCCTGGTAGACAAAGCTATCTGAATGCATGAATGCCACTGTACAGTTGACAGAAGAATGAACACTTGTGTGAAAAGGCTCTGTACATTCTTTCCCACAGAAGTCAACGAAAGGGTCGGTTGTCCTAGGCTACGTATTCCAGCATTTAAACCTTGTGGAGATAGATTACTTTGGACTGCGTTACTGTGACAGAAGTCACCAGACGGTGAGTAAAAACAGGACAGATTAGATTTTCCAGTGATAATTATTACCCTGTTGATAACCCTTTTTTCTCTTCCTAATCATATTTTAAACGGTATCTATTCTGTCACCAAATCAATTTTTAAATCAGAGTTGTCCTGTCATATTTATAGGGAAATGAATATTTCTGTCATAACTTATTTTTCCCTTTCTAATAATAAATTGTGTAGGAATAGTTTTTTTCTGTTTGAACAAGAAGAGATTTCCCAGGAATAGAAACAAGTCTGTTATCTACACATACAATTATGATATAATGGGGGAGGTAAAGGTAAAGGTTCCCCTTGACAATTTTTGTCCAGTCGTGTTCGACTCTGGGGGGCGGTGCAAACCCCTGTTTCCAAGCCATAGAGCCAGCGTTTTGTCCGAAGACAATCTTCCGTGGTCACATGGCCAGTGCGACTTAGACACGGAACGCTGTTACCTTCCCACTATGGTGGTACAGTGGTGCCCCGCATTCGCTATGGGAAAACATCGTAAAACGGATCAAAAACCCCAATTGGAACGCATTAAACAAAGTTTAATGCGTTCCAAATGGGCCGAAAACTCACCGTTCTCCGATGTTTTCCCTTGTTCCGGCGGCCATCTTGGGTGTACCGGCGGCCATTTTGGGTGTACTGGTGCCCATTTTTTGTGTTCTGGCGGCCATCTTGGGTGTACTAGTGGCCTTTTTTTTTTTTTTTCCGGGGGCCATCTTGGGTGTTCCAGTGGCCATTTCTTTGTTCCGGGGGCCATCTTGGGTGTACCAGCGGCCATTTTTTTGTTCCGGCGGCCATCTTGGGTGTACCTGCACCCATTTTTTTGTGTTCCGGTAGCCATTTTAGAGCCGCAGAACAGCTGTTCCCCCATCGTAATGCGAGCGTGCCCTCGCATTAGCAATGGGGAAATCTGCATCGCAATGCAGATTCATCGTTCAATGGTGCACTCGTTATACGAGGCACCACTGTACCTATTTATCTACTTGCATTTGCATGCTTTCGAACCGCTAGGTTGGCGGGAGCTGGGACAAGCGACAGGCGCTCACTCCGTCGCATGGATTCGATCTTACGACAGTTGGTCTTCTGACCCTGCAGCAATGAGCAGGTGCTTAGGTGAATTACTTTCAAAGATGATAGTTGTTTAGAAATAATGGGAGGAATCTCAACAATGCTATTCTGCTAATGGAATGGCTTCCTTTAGTGGAACTGGGATGGGGTTCATCTCCATCCTTAAAACCTGCTCTGGGTGCCTGGGAAGTCCTGCAGTGCATGTTTTCAGCCATGAAATTCCCAGTCATGTTAGTAGACATCTGCTTAGAATGACACTGGATTTAGGCCTTTAATTGTGCTTACTCTTTTTAGATGTCTGCTTGAGAGGAGATTTTTGGATTGTCTGAACTACAAATACCATAATTTTATATGCTCTGGGAGTTCTGACTATGTTACAGGCATATTGCAAATACATGAACGTGATGTACTGGAGAGAAAGGCCTAAACTGGAAGGTTTAGAGCATAGCTAGGCCAAATTCTGCTCAAGTGTCCTGTACAGAAAGTAAGTTCTCAGTTAGGCCCAGGGCTGAAACAGGGCATTTGAGGAACTTGGCCTAGCCAAGCTGCAGAGCCTTTCAATTTAGGTCTTTCTCCCAAGTGCATCACAATCAGGTATTTGCAAGGTGCCTGCAAGGTAGGCAGCATTCCTATAATGGAGAATTATGGCATTTGTGCTTGAGAAAATCCAAAAAGGGCATCACAAATGTCTACCTGTAGTTTCTGAAGAACCCAGCTTCTAAATGTATGGCCCTAGCTAGCCAGCTGTCACATTTATGGTGCTAGTACTTTAGAAAGTTTTGTGGGGAAGTGCAACAGTTAAGCCCTGAAGTTGATATAATAATTAATAATTTGTGATTAACTACATGTTTCCATGTTTTAAATTGTACAAAGTTTGAGCCAATGGTACACTTGTTGACCTGATCTGAAGTTTCCTATGTGTTGGGGTGATACGATTGTAACTCTGAAAGAAAAGTCTTGCATTATGCAAACTAGTCTGTGAATTTCTGAAGCTTGATACTCTGACTCAAAATGAAATATTATCATGTAAACTGGAGTACTAAGAATAATAAATTAATGAGATTAAGTAAATTGATAATGATGACTCTTATTCCCCAAATGAATGAATGAATACTTTATTATGGTCAAAGCACAATGTCAACAAAGACCAGAGGAGCCTTCATATTAGCGAGACTTAATGTTTTACCCTTTAAGCTCATGGAGGGAAGATTTCACCATACAGTGGACCCTCGACTTATGGAATTTCCCATAGGAATCCATTGAAAACCATTGAATCCTTTCAAGCCAAAGGAAAAAAAAAATCCCGGGCTTCCACGGGGACAGGAGGCAGAGGGCAGCGGGTGCAGCTTTGGAAGCCCGGGAAGCTGAAAGCTGCTCTGCGCCCGCTGCCAGCTTTTGGCTTTCAGGGCTTAGAAAGCTGCACGTGCTGCCCTTTTATCTCCTGTCCCCGGTTCCGTCTGCCTCAGGCAGCGGGTGCAGCTTTCTAAGCCCCGAAAGCCCGCAGTGGGCACAGAAAGGGGGAAAAGGGCAGGAAATTCAAAGCAGCCCCCCCCTCTGCCTTCTTGTCTCCTGTCCCTGGTGCCCTCTGCCTCCTGTCCACCGGAGGAAGAGGGCACCGGTGAAAGGAGACAAGAGGGCAG